CTTGTATGTCTCCACATACTCAGGCTTCCGTCTAGGTGGTACACCGCATACATATCATAAAACACTTGCACTTAATAAAACAGCTCAATAGCATTTCAATTATTCATCACATAATTTCACAAAACACAACATGCATATAAACCATCCCTCCATGAGGTATGGTGGAACTAACAATGGGCAAAATCGAGGACACGAAAGCTTACCTCTAGTGCCAAAATCTCTATCCAAAGGCTCGGTAAATACAGACAACCCAACAGTCTCACCACAAGTCAATTGCAATCTGTTTGTTATGAATACACAATTTAATATTCATAAATCTTAATTTCATAACCATTAAACAACTTCTTCTCTTTCATTTACATTCTTATTAATTCATAATTATCACGAATTAACCCTCATTATTAAGGTGTTAATGTTTCCCAACAGTAACACTGACTTCCTAGGGCATCTTGCCCCAATGGGGACTTTCCCACGTATAAAAACTAGTTTCTGGTCATTCTGACAGGTGATAATCGATTACCATACAGGTTGTAATCGATTACTCCACATGGTAATCGATTACAAAAAATAGAGTAACCTATTACTGCACATGGGAACCGATTACCAAAACAGGGTAATCGATTACTGCACATGGTAACCGATTACCATACGAAAGGTAATCGATTACCACGCGGATAGAACAGATTTCTGCAGAATTTTTCTGCATAATCCAAGACCCCAAAGCTTCCCCAAGGTCCAAGGTTCGGTTTTTCATCAAAACAGAGGTTCAAAAATACTTATTGCACATGGATGAACAACTCTTAACTTGAATAATCAAAGTTTCCTCTTTTAGTGACTTAAACAAGCCAAAATCATGAAAATTCAAAGAAATGATCAAGGTTTACCTATGGAGTCTTGAACTTAGAAAAATGAGGAGACTTTGATGACCAATGGAGTGCCCTAATCCTCTGCCTTAGTGATGCACGAAAATCACCACACCAAGGTAGGTTCTTTCCTTCCAAAGCTTGGTTCTTGAAGCTTCAATGGAGGTGGAACACACTCACACTCCCATAACCAAGGAGGCAGCCCTCAAGCACTCAGAAAACAGAACTTTGAGCTCACAAGAACACTCTCCCCACATCCCCAATGCTTGCTTCAAGTCTACACAATGATGGAGGAGGGTTTTCAAGAAGAAAAGGTGGGAACTTTGGTGCAAAAATAGAGGAAAGCTCAAGTTTTCTGAAGGGAAGAGAGGATGGCAGCCAAGAGGGTCAGAAATCTCACGTAAAAGAGAGAAAATCGACCTAGAAAAGTGTGCCCTTTAGTATTTATAATCTACTTAAGTTTAATCAGTCGCTATTAGCGCTAATAGCTTCGCTAATCATTTTAATCTCAAACTTCATATTCTGAACCTAGCCATTTTTCGAGGATGTGTCATATTTTTATTGTAATTTTTCGCAACACTTTTTTGGTACGCATTTTCACGTTCTGGTATTAGTTCTGACACCAATACTCAATATTATAACTTCAAACTTGATATTCTTGACTTAAATATTATTCTAAGAATATTCATCTACTTATTATAATTTTTTGGGATACTTCATCGGCACGCATTTATACCGTGAAGCAGAATCAGTATCTGCATTTTTCGTTAGAAAAGCGAATTTCAACATTATTAAGCCCTTATATTAATTATTCAAGTCTTCCCATAATTATTCTACGTCAATTATGGAATTATCTCATAATTTCATAATTAAATTATTTAAATTCCTAATTTAACGATGCAGGTTCTTACAGGTGCTACATCCAGACTGAAGTAGCTGCATATATTTTTTTATCACAAGAGTACCTGTTTTACACACACGCGTCACACAAGCAATCAAACAAAATATCAAAAATCTTCCTGGTGTCTACACTGCTCCAAGCTCTAAGAATACTCTCAAGCCGAATCTACGGAGTTCACCAACTCCTCTCACACAAGACCTCCACTCTCCCTATTGGATTCTTGAGGCTCCAGGCCTTGAGACACACTCTCAAGCCAAGCACAAGGTTGCCAACCCACTCGGTTGCACCCACACACCCAGGACAGATTTACAACACGCAACTACTCCACTTTAACAACTAATACATAATTTTTCAGAACTGTAACAAGTGAAATAATCCAAAAATATTGTGTCCTATCACACCAAATATATCACAGTAAAAACTAAGCTCCACAATTTTATGCCATATGCAGAAAATTAAGCCAATGACATATGTATCAAAATCTCTAAAATTAATGCACCAAGAAGCTTGGATATTACAAAATTAATTTTCTAATCATTGGATACCAAGAAATCTGATTTAAACAGAAAATATCACAATGTAAATGGAAAAATTAGATTCAAAATTTTTCTCAAAATTTCACATAAAATCCAGAATTAACCTTCTAACACAGAACCACAAGAAAATCTGAATTAAACATAATATACCTCAATGAAACCAAAAATTCAGATTTAAAATGCTTAACTAAAATTTCTTCAAGATTTTAAAATATAGGGTTCTAATAAAAATATTAACCAAGAATATGAGTTGATTAGAGTTTACCATAATGAAACCACAAAAGATGATATAAGTTGTTCTCACAAGAACCCCAAATATTCAGTATATGCGTCCAAGAAATACCAGTGTAATGCGCATCCAAAGAACAAAATCAGAACAGAGCCCATCCAAAAAAATCCAGCAGTAAGCGCGTCCAAAGAACCCAATCTACCCAAAATGGTTTTCGTTAACGTCTTGTGTGTGAGATAGAAGCTTGAAACACTTGCAACTCACTAAGAAAATATTTCACAAATTTCTGCTTGAGCTTTCCTGAGGGAATCACCAAGATCGAAGAGAGAGAAACGAGAATAAGGTTTTCTTTTTGAACTATTGTTATAGAGCGTAAAAGTATAGGTACTGTGAAGGATGTATATATTGGGAAAGTTTCTTTTTTATTATTATTATATAAAGCAAAATTCTGATCACTTTTGTTTTACGAAAAAGGTGCAAGCAGTTTCTTTTACACTTTTTCTAATAGAAACAAAACTTAATATTAAAATTAATTTTATATTCTATTTAAGAGAACAAACCCACGTGACCATATATTTTGTTTTAAAGTACTGAACCTGATTGCTTTATCAAATTGTAAAAGCTACTTTTCATTTTATTTTAAAAACTGTTTTATTTCTAAAATCTATTTAATTTCTATTTCTAAAATGAAATGTATATAATGCAATGGAGCTTAGGTAGATACTATATGATATAATATAATGTGTAACAAAATATCTAAAAATACCTAACCATTTGTATCTTCAAACTCCATCTTCAATTTGAGACTTCTTGTAAACCTCTTGTCATCATCAAAATATTTATTCCATGATGCATAAGAGATCTTCACACGGATCTTATGAAATCTTAACTAAGCTAACTTTTTGTGAAGATACTCATAAATTTAAGATGATCTTATATCAATATATATGAAAAGCATAATTCATTTTAATGCACAAATATAAAAATTATAAAATCATGATAGTAAATTTTCTTTATTCATTGACTTTATTTTAAGTTTTATTTTCATTTCACAATTATATTATTTCATTTATACCTTAAATCAATTCAAATTTTATCAAACTAATTTTGATAAATAATTAAAAAAAATTGAGTTAAATGATTTGTTTGCATCTAATAGCTCAAATATCTAATAAATCAGAATCATTAAATATAAATAGAATCAAAGATTAATGTTGAGAATATAATTTACATTGGTATAAAATGATCCTGACCTTTACACATATATATATATACATTGGTATAAAATGATCCTTGACCTTTATATATATATATATATATATATATATATATATATATATATATATATATATATATATATATATAGGTGTAGGAGAGATTTGAGCAATAATATATTACACTTTAAAGTGGTGCTTAAAGAGTTCCCAACAAAAGGTTAAAGAGGCAGAAAGGAAAGAAAATAAAGAATGTTTAACCCTTAATAAATAACTAGTGTATTACTCGTGCGATGCACGGAGGAAAAATATCAAAAATTTTGTCGTTCGTCGTGGTTGGTTAATCGCACTGCAAACCTTATACTTATAAAAAAAATGTGTTACTATTTTGTTCTATATTTCAGGTGGAAAAAACTACGACACTGACACAGAACTTTGCAAATATCAACAACAAACAAAGAACTGATATTGAGAGGGATCAATTATTTTTGCATTATAAAACATCAAAATACACCATAATACGTTATACTGCACAATGTTAACATGAGGAAGGGATATAAAAATAAAAATGCATACCACACATAGTATAATAACATCAAGCAAATATGGAGTTAAAAATCAACAGTTACCAATTATGTCATTTGCTATATGATTTCTGTTCCTTGTGCCTACGATATAGAAGGCAAAAACTCATTAAATAAATTACATTAATATGTTAAAAGACAAAAGTAATACTATCAGAAAAAAAAAAGATAAGGATTAATTTTTATTTAGGACAAAAAAAAAATGTTGTCTAAACGGGATTTGAGGGCACCTTAAGCAAATAAGCATATATGAGTCATATTTTTTGCTTACATTGCAAAAAATGTGTCTAAACATAATCAAATCAACTACATTAATCTTTGAAATACTTCCTTGTATATTTGGTATTTGTTATTCCAATTTTACCTTTACAAAAAAAAAACACAAAATAATTAAAAGAGGAAGATGAACATGTAGAATACCCGTTTTATAAAAAAAAAAACACCTTTGAAAGACTTTATCTTTGCAAGCTGGACTATTATCACATTCTGGGAAGACTGATTATTTGCCAAGAAGTTTTGCACTTTGTCCACAAAATGTTCCCATAAAGTACACTCCAGTTTGTGACCCGTATATCGAAGAGATTGCATGAAGTAATCCAATATCAAAAGATTACACATAACAAAATACGATTATTCATTATAGACATATAGCATCTATTTTACACACATAAAATTAAAATCTGAGGTTGTCAAGTTCTAAGACAATCATTTTGGTCTTCCTACTAGAGACAACATGCTCAACAACATCCCCTACTCCTGTGAGTAAACCGACAACGTCTATGGAACAAATAATAAGTAGAAACTATTAAAACTCGAGGACACAATAAGAATTTATTTATATGACAGACAAAATATATTACCTACTAAATAAGGAGAGTTGGGTGCTTCCTTCTCAATAAGCTCAAAATCAACAAAATCAAAACCATCGACAGGAATAGAAGCATCAAACGTGGATTTCACGTCAGTTCTCAAATTGAAAGACAGACGATATTCATGCCTAGTTGGCCTGAACATATCAGCGTTCAATCCAACTTTAAAATTTTTCACGAAATAAACATCTCCTTCTTGAATTTTTTTGCGGACCTGCAAAGTACCTTTAACCGTGGCATGTATTTTTCCACCCTACAAAAGAAACAAAACAAAAAAAGACAACAAAAAATTGAACGGCATTAATCAGCGAAACTTATATCAATGGAAAACAAAAAAACACACCAAAACATTCGCACGACAATAGTCAGCGAAACAATTACTTGTTCATCCATCAGAATCATGTCCACATTATCATTAAAATTCTTCCTGTGAAAATTGGGAACCTTGCAACACTTAATCACCAGAACTTTTCATTTAAAAACTTTTCATTTCCCAAGACTCATACCTTTCATAGAAGACAATTAATAGATACGAATTTGTTAATGAGCGGTCAAGGTACTGATTGAAAGAAAAAAAGCGAAAAAATTATTTATTTGAGATATTAAAAATATTTTCTCTAGAATATTAAATATTATTTAATCAATATTTTTAAGATACTAATTCATAAAATTTGTTTCTGATATAATTTTAAATGGTTTTATCACCACTCATATTACTATTATTTAAAGTATTTAGCCGATCAATGGAGATAAATTATTTTTGATGAGTTTAAAATGATATTATTTTAAGGTGAAAATTAAGATATTTTTATAATTATAATATATTATAGGATTATTGGTAGTGGGTCATTTAAAAACCTTTCATTTCCCAAGACTCATAACTTTCATTTTCATTTTTTGTACACTAAATCATTATTACGATTTTATTTTTATTTTTTAAGTTAATTCATTTCCCAATACAACAATTAATGATAGTGGGTCAATTAAAAACTTTTCATTTCCCAAGACTCATACCTTTCATTTTTGTTTTTTGTACACTTAAGTCATTATTATGTTTTTTTTTTTTTTTTAAGTTAATGCAAGTGTGAACACACAGCTTAGGATGAATCAAAATTTGACACATCAGTGTTTTGGAGGGTTTGGAGGGTTTCAAGTATGAACGCACTGTGTACTCACTGTGTGAACACAAAAGGAGTTTGCTTTGATTTTCCTTTATATATATAATAGATTCACGGAAAATATTCCAGTCAAACAAAACAAGCTCAAAGGACGTAGTTTGTCTCTTCCCGCCAAGTCTCATCTGTAATTTTTTGTGTCTTATGCAACTCAGGAAGGAGTAAAGAAATATTTTGTACTATTTATGATGTCACAAATAGATGCGTCCATATTATTCCTCCATTAAAAGTGTAACGATATTATGTACACATACAGACAACTCCTAAATAATCTCACATCTCTCCCACAATTATTCAAATATTTTTTTATTATATTAATAAAAATTGAACACATAACCTGCTATAAATTACTCAAATCCCTCTTCAATGTACCAAATCTACTGACTTTTATTCAAATGTTTATTGGAGTTTGCATTTGTCATTTAACATGACACAACAAACTTTTCTACACACACAATATTTTGTGGGCTCACACTTTTTGAAGAAGAAAAAAAAACTACGGCATGCAAAATAAATTTCTATAACATTACACAATCACTTAACTCTTAACTCTTATAAAAGCCATGTTTATTACTCGCAAGTGATTAAAGCAACATGATAGTTGAGACCGCTTAAGGAACATATATATCATAACATCGAAAACTGAATAGGCTGTGTTTTTTAGTTGTAATCAGGATTAGCCAAAAGATAATCCTCAAAAGCCTCCGTGAACCTAGCGGAACTTTCCTTGTTAGCCTTAAGAAACTCTTCTGGGAGCTGCGCTTCGCCTTTGGTGTAGTATTTGGTAATGGACTTAAAGATGCATCCACCGTCAGGGCTTTCCACCATTTTGTGCTCATAAGAGATCTTCTCCAATGGGTGTGGCAAAGCACTGCCTTCAATTACGCTGTAGTGGTACACGTAGTTTTCTGCATCAACCGCATCTACCTTTTGCTTCACGTATCCTACTCATACATGATCACAAACTCTAATATCATGCAATGCTTCAACCCAATAAATTAAAATGCTAAATGATGAATACGTTAATGATTTTATATTAATATCTCTAATACTAAATATTTCATACATAGTTAAACTTAATTTACCTTCACCAAGAGTGAGCTTCTTAATGGATCCTGGCCCCCCATCTCCTTCAATGATTTCAACACTCTTAATAAAGTCTGGTAAAACTTTTGGGAAGACATTGCTAGAATCCAGGACAATGGCTTTGTATAGTCTTGCAGGAGCGATGGAAGAAACGTGCTCGCCTTCATAAGTGAAAACACCCATGATGATGGAAAAGACTAATGCAAGAAGTGATGAGAGTAAGAAAATATCAAATTGCTTTGTGATGTGTGAGTGTGAGTTTGAGTTTATGGATTAATTGTGAATATATATAGCATTTTATATATAGGCGTTGGTGGTTGCTGGTAAGTTTCCCCAACCCCATTACCGATAAGTTCAATTACTTTGACATTTTCTTAATTAATCTTAATAAATAGTAAATTAACTAATGAAAGTAATCAACTCAAAAGAAGCGACTTTAGAAGGAATCAGATCCTTCACGATGAGACGTCAAGTTATTTAACGCTTTATTTATCAAAGAATCAGAATTCACATATAGAAAATATTGGTGTACGTATAGTTTATTGCAATATGATCACGATTTGTTGACATATGTGCTGATGTATTACCCAGTTATACAAAGAATTAAGATTAAAGACACTGTCGTTTCCCAAAAAATAAAATAAAATAAGTCTCCCTTTGAAAAAAAAATTAGCCCAATAACATTAGATATACGAGGAATAGGAATTTGGATTGTGCTATATTTTATAGGATAAATTACGGGTTATAATCATTAATTAAAAAAATAATAGTTAAAATTATGACAAAAAATAGGTGTATATCTATATATATATATATATATATATATATATATATATATGGGATAGGATCCGTTTACAAATTTTTTTTACAAATTACACTAAGTACGACCGGTCGTACACTGCATGATTAAAGTATGACCGGTCATACTTAGTTTAGTTTGTAAGAGTTTGTAAACAAAAAAGTTTATAAATATAACCTGATCCACCTCATATATATATATATATATATATATATATATATATATATATATATATATATATATATACTTTATCAATTTTTTAATCAATAATTATATTGCTAGTATATAGTTTAAATAGCTTTGCATGAATTTACCAAAAAAAAAAAAAAAAAATAGCTTTGCATCAAAATACGTATTAGCCACGTGTAATTACTAAGTAGCACAAACACTTAAATTTAATATCATTTGCAACGCTTGGCTTTGAAAACTTGATGTCCTGATTATGATTTGTATCTGTAATTATGCAGTTCTTGGCTAGCAAAACCAAAACTTATATGGTACTTGAGTACGCGAATGGAGGAGAGTTATTCGAAAAATTTGTAAGGAGCATTTGCCTAAGTTACTCATATATATTATATACATGATCTATAGGCAATGATGATCAATGAACTTGTCTTCACAGGCATCTAAAGGTAAACTTCCAGAAGCTGATGGCAGGAAGATGTTCCAACATTTGATTGATGGTGTGAGCTACTGCCACAATAAAGGTGTCTTCCACAGGGATCTCAAGGTTAGATACTAATTGAAACTATGTTCCATGGTTACAAATATTTTGGGTTCTGTAAGGCTTGCATTTTAACACAAAAATGATATCTTGTTGCAGCTAGAGAATGTACTATTGGATGCAAAAGGGAACATAAAAATTGTTGAGATATTCAAGTGTGATGAGTCTCACATTGGTTGGTAATGAGCTAAATGAATAGTATATAAGTGAAAGGACCCATGAACCAAATGCCTTAAGGTTTTGGGTTGAGACATGGTGTCGGATCCACTTGCTACGGTTGGTGTAGCCTTAGCTCATTGGTGGTGGTTCCCCGCCACGGGCTTCCCCTGAACCCGCTTGACATTGGAGTTTGAGGGAACGAATTTCCCAACAAAAATAACCAATTTTAACCTTAGTGCTTTGCCTCAGCATATTAAGGTGAGATATTCTTTGAACCACACCTCAAGGCAAATTATGTCATTTTTTGTGATTGACTCGTATATGAAAAATTCAGGCAGATGGGTTGATACATACAACATGTGGAAGTCCCAACTATACTGCACCTGAGATTTATATACAGGACAACACATTGCATGTACTAACTTTTCATCAGAATAGAAAATACACTTTCACATTCAGATCTTTCTCTCTTTCTCTCTCTCACTTTCACTTTCTATCATTTTCTTTCACTTTCTCTGACCTACCTTATGGGCTAACTTTTGGGTAAAGCTCTCCCAAGGTTTGTATCATTTTGATACGTTGAATTCTAAGCCTACTAATTCCCTGCATCATAATTCTATCGTATGCAAGTGAATGTACAGTGTAAGCAGCATAGGGAGTAAAAGTCCATGCGGAAGGATCTAATAATAGTTTTTTGCAGCTAGATACCCAAATGACGGACTATTGGGGTTATGGCAAATTATATACTGATGTTGCACAGGAAATTTTTCTATATTATGCTTATTTATCATTGACGATGACCCCGAAACTAAATAAAAAGAAAACTCTGCGGCAGATGCATAACCAATAGAACTTGGTTAAATTCATGTATTGATCCTAAATTCCAATAATAAACAAGAAACGACCCATCCAAGTAACAATATAACATATCATAAGCTATTCAATGCAGAACATAGCAACAGATATATGACTAAAAGAGAAAGAAATTTGATGTAATAGATCCCAACTATATAGGAGTTTATTGGAAACAAGTACGATTGTGATAAACTGTTTTTTGTACAACCTGTCAATTTTGAATAATTTAATCCTTCAAGAATATGAAGGCATTGAAGGAATTCTCTTTCAGTTTAGAAGATATATAAATAGCAGAGCAGCAGTCAGATGCCAAAGAAATTCACTTTTATAGAGGTTGGATCATATGCAGGAAGCCAACTCACAAAAACTTACTAAAAAACAAATAATAGAGTTGCATAATAAAGCTTATTTTCCATCTCAAAAAAATAAAAATAAAAATTTACAATCAAGTTCTGTCGGATTCTGAGCAGAAAAGCAGAAGTCCAGGAGCCTCTAATAAATTTTATATGTGTGTGTGTGTGTTTTGGGGCATTTGACACGGGTGTCATGTCAAATCAAAAGTTTGACACCTCATTCTCTGTGTGTGTGTGTTTTGGGGCATTTA